CCAGAGAAGACAGCTACCGGGAAAGAAAAATCAGTCTAAATGTTTCATCTTGGTTGTGGAAAAAGAAAAAATGGATTTTAAGTAAAGCATTTGGGTAGAGGTGGTATAATTATTTTTAGATTTTAAGAGAATCCTATGTATTACATTTATAAATTTGAAAACTTTAATGAAATGGATGATTGGCAAAGGACACAGAAATTGTAAAACCTCATCAAGGGGAGGGAGAAATCCTGAACAGACCAATAACCAGAGAGGCAATTTGTAAAGATTTATCCTTAAAGAAGATACCAATCCCAGATCTATAAACAAAGTAGTAGTCTTTGAGTGGGGATGCCTAGCCAGGAAGTCCTGCTGACAGCTTGGCAGGCCTAGATGGTTTAAGGAAATTGATTTCTAGATCCTCAAGTTTCACAGACACTTCTCCTACTCTACAGAAGGGCAATTCACCCCTTGTCCCGTATCATCCTCTGGGTGCACTGACCTGGGGTGCAGAAAGCCCCACACACGATATGAAAGTGAAGCTGCCTTTGATGATAATCATGTCACCAAAACCATGAAGAACTTCCAGTCTCTCATTGCTTTACTGAACTTAGTTAAGGAAACCTGGTCTCGGGGGAAAGGGGTGGTCTCTAGCCCTCTGCTGGGTATTCTGACTTTAGAAAGGTTAAAAAAGTTCCCCCACAAATAAATGCAATTGTTGTCAGCTCTCAATACTCACACCTTGGATGTGCCATTAACTTGATGGGCGTGTTCTATAAATTAAATGAGCCCAAACTGTAGCCCCAACTTTTTGATGAAAATGGATTTGAAGTACACGTAAACTAACTGTTTTTGTCAAAAATATTGTATTGGCAACAGTGTAATGAAATAAGCAATGTTTAGATGTCCCCAACCATTTTGAGTGTTCTTGGTTAAGCAAAGTGAAAGAATTATAAGGTATAATTATCTTTGATACATCTTGGTAAAGTTTTTTGGGGGGAGCTTTCCACAAGTAGAGAGAGTTTCTTTAATGTGACTAAGATGCATCTTTTTGCTAGTCAGCTGATTTTCATTTGAATAAAAATGAACAATATAAATTTGACATTAGATCAGTGCAATTTGGGGCATATAACTTAGGAGTTCAAAAACTTGAACAACATTAGTATAACAAAACTGTCTGTTTCTACTTCTTATTTATATGAGCCAGGTTTCTCAGGGATCACATCTATAAAAACCCAAAAAATAGGAATAAAATTGATGCTAAGTCTGATCACATTTTATCAGTAAATCATATATATTTATCTATAGGTACACGCTAATGAAAAAAAAAACCAACATTCAGCTCATTAAGAGAAGTAATTCCAAGAAAAATTGGTGTATAATTACTTATAAAATTATATTCCTTTTATTAACTTAGCATTACTAATAATTTTACTGGTAAATTCATTCCAGAAGAAAAATTTTTTTATACACTTAGGGCTTTAGTCACAAGGAAAACTTATTACATTTTAATTTACATATTTTTTTCAGAGACCTATGATAGGATGACCAATAAAAAAATTTAAACATACATAAGTGGAATGGAAATTCAAGTTCAAGGAATAATAGGAAAAAATGTAAATTTTTCAAATATTAAATAACATTTATTTTTAAGATGGATGGTAATGTTTATCAAATCACATGGCATTTACATACCACCTGATAAAAGGATGATCTAACAGTCTTATTTTAAAAAGCCAGTTCTTACCCTAACCAGAAAATGTATTCTAAACTTTCAAATTATGATGAAGCATTTTTAGGGGCTCCTGGGAGCAAAAACTGTGAAGACTAGTGGTTAAGGCAGTGGCTCGGACCATCGTTCCTGGGAACACGGCAGTGCTCTGCAGCCATCTCACCCATCCCCCTGCGGGGTGAGTCACCTGTTCCCATTTGTGCTCAGTTTAGAGAGTCACGGAAAATTCAAGCTGGAAGGATCTTTAAGGTGTTCCATCCCTCAGTTTTACTAGCTTTGTGACCCCTGGCTAAGCTATTCACATCACACACACACACAAAATAGTTCAACACAACACACAGAATGCTACACTTATTCAACCGCCAAATAAATGGTCTGGCCAGGGATCTGGACCTTCACTGATGTAGAGTGGCTGCGCCTGTAACATAAAAGAGTGACCCTGTGATCCCGGGTTTTGGCACCAAAAAAAAAAAAGTGACCCAGTACGAGGAGGAGCTGGAGGGAACCCGCAGCGGCCCTCTTGCTGGAGGAACGCTGATCACAGTGCCAGACGGGAGTTTTCGGAAGCTGGTGATATGGATTTTCATGGAAAAGGTGGTAATTGGTTAAAAAATATTTTTTTTAATGCTTTTATACTGTGCAGGATAGGAAAAAATGCAGCTACCAGTCACAAACATCTCCAAGGGCTGCCGGTTTGTTGTAACCTTTGGTATAGAGTTAAGTCCTCAGGACGGGGGCTTTTTGTTGTTGTTGGGTGACTAGATTCTATAAATTTGAGTTTTAGTTTTGAGTAGCTCTTTGGTGTCTTGAAAGAGCTTTAAAATTTTTTTAAATTTATTTGTCTTTATTGTATTATTTATTTTATCTTGGCAAGGGATAGGTAATGAGGTTTATTTATTTTTAGAGGAGGTACTGGGGATTGAACCTAGGAGCTTATGCATGCTGAGCACGCGCTCTACTGTTTGAGCTATATACCCTCACCCCAGTTAAAAGATCTTACAGTGCAGGATGGTGTTATCCTGTCCTGACAAGGACACACTTTCCTGATTTTTCTGGAATTTTCACTCACCATCTCAGAGGCTAACTTAAGGAGTTCGGCAATGTGAAATGACAAAGTTACCGTGCTTCATTTTGGAAGGGGCTTCACTTGTGCAGGGTTGCTTGACATATGGAGAATAAAATCAGCCATGGAAGACAATGGAGAAAGGCATAGTGTGTACCGCCTACCTAATGGCAAGTATATATCTAAATACTTCTAAAATTAAAAAAATTGTGCTGAACACTGGAATTTGACACAACACTGTAAAATGATTATGAATCAATAAAAAATGTAAAAAAATAAAATTAAATTAAAGAATGCCTTCCTCAGTGAGTACCCACCCCCGTGCAGGACTTGCTGGGCGCGTGAGTTCTGTAAGCACCTGCGTTTTCTTATTCATCCTTCGGGAGGAGGCATCACTCTAAAAAATACACTGTAGAACCTTGTGGGTATGTCCTTTGATCTGTGCGAAAACTGTGTGTGTGGAGGCGAGGCACGAGCGACATGCACAGATCCGCTCTGAAGTACAGCAGATCTGGGGACAGCTCCCGGTGTAACAGAAAAGGGCAAATCTGACCCCACGTTAGACCTGCTCCTTGCGCTCCTGGGAAGGAGTTCTGACTGTGTCCTAAGTGTTCTTCTGTGTGCTTTGATGTTTTGTTTTACCGCATGCATTTATTATCTAAAAACCCCCCAAAACCCAAACCCCCAAACCAAGCAAGACAACTACAGAGGACGCAATCACGTGGCAAGTTGTGCTACCAGAGCTGCCGTGGGATAACATTTGAAAACACGTATTCAGAGCAGTGCACATCATTCCACAGCATGTTCCTTAGACCTGTGTCACCAAACACTGTTTTATCTGGCAAGAGTGCTGCTCACATTCAGTCTCTGCTCTGTCACTCCTCCCTCTGAACAATCTCTGTCCTCACTGCTTGTGTAAGCAGATCAATGGAAAAGAGAGAAAATGAGCTGGTCCTGGCAGGAGTGGTGGCCACTGTCTTCTCCTGACCCGCTTTTCCAAGGCCTCTGCAGGGCGTGCTGCCCAGGGTCCATTTCCTTTTCCGCACCCCCAACCCCTGTCCCATCTGATGGCTTCAAGTCCAGGTTACGGTCACGGCCTAGCCACAGAGCT